TTGTTATTAAGCTCATCATTTATTTTATTCATTTGCTTTTATTATTAATTAATTTTATTATTTCATATTTTTTCTTCATTTTTTCCTTCTAATTAACTATTAAATGATATATTTTTTCTTCAATATTTAAAAAGGTCTAATTAAATTGGTGCAATGGGTGCATCAGGCTTAGGTTCAGCTTTAGCAAAATGCATTAATCTCTCAAATTTGACACTTAACCTTTGGTAAAAACAGTTTATTTGTTTTGGATTGTGATATTTTTAATTATAAAAACTAATTAAAAACAATAAAGCTCTTTTTTCTTTTTCTTTTTATCGTGCTTGCTGTTTTGTTTTTTCTTTGTTAATTAAGCTCATCATTTATTTTATTCATTTGCTTTTATTATTAATTAATTTTATTATTTCATATTTTTTCTTCATTTTTTCCTTCTAATTAACTATTTAATGATATATTTTTTCTTCAATATTTAAAAAGGTCTAATTAAATTGGTGCAATGGGTGCATTAGGCTTAGGTTCAGCTTTAGAAAAATGCATTAATCTCTCAAATTTGACACTTAACCTTTAGTAAAAACAGTTTATTTGTTTTGGATTGTGATATTTTTAATTATAAAAACTAATTAAAAACAATAAAGCTCTTTTTTCTTTTTCTTTTTATCGTGCTTACTGTTTTGTTTTTTCTTTTTTAATTAAGCTCATCATTTATTTTATTCATTTGCTTTTATTATTAATTAATTTTATTATTTCATATTTTTCTTCATTTTTTCCTTCTAATTAACTATTTAATGATATATTTTTTCTTAAATATTTAAAAAGTCAAAATAAAATTGGTGATGAAGGTGCATCAGGCTTAGGTTCAGCTTTAGCAAAATGCATTAATCTCTCAAATTTGACACTTAACCTTGGGTAAAAACAGTTTATTTGTTTTGGATTGTGATATTTTTAATTATAAAAACTAATTAAAAACAATAAAGCTCTTTTTTCTTTTTCTTTTTATCGTGCTTGCTGTTTTGTTTTTTCTTTGTTAATTAAGCTCATCATTTATTTTATTCATTTGCTTTTATTATTAATTAATTTTATTATTTCATATTTTTTCTTCATTTTTTCCTTCTAATTAACTATTTAATGATATATTTTTTCTTCAATATTTAAAAAGTGGAAATTAAATTGGTGCAATGGGTGCATCAGGCTTAGGTTCAGCTTTAGCAAAATGCATTAATCTCTCAAATTTGACACTTAACCTTAGGTAAAAACAGTTTATTTGTTTTGGATTGTGATATTTTTAATTATAAAAACTAATTAAAAACAATAAAGCTCTTTTTTCTTTTTCTTTTTATCGTGCTTGCTGTTTTGTTTTTTCTTTGTTAATTAAGCTCATCATTTATTTTATTCATTTGCTTTTATTATTAATTAATTTTATTATTTCATATTTTTTCTTCATTTTTTCCTTCTAATTAACTATTTAATGATATATTTTTTCTTCAATATTTAAAAAGTCGAATTAAATTGGTGCAATGGGTGCATCAGGCTTAGGTTCAGCTTTAGCAAAATGCATTAATCTCTCAAATTTGACACTTTACCTTGGGTAAAAACAGTTTATTTGTTTTGGATTGTGATATTTTTAATTATAAAAACTAATTAAAAACAATAAAGCTCTTTTTTCTTTTTCTTTTTATCGTGCTTGCTGTTTTGTTTTTTCTTTGTTAATTAAGCTCATCATTTATTTTATTCATTTGCTTTTATTATTAATTAATTTTATTATTTCATATTTTTTCTTCATTTTTTCCTTCTAATTAACTATTTAATGATATATTTTTTCTTAAATATTTAAAAAGTTACAAATAAAATTGGTGATGAAGGTGCATCAGGCTTAGGTTCAGCTTTAGCAAAATGCATTAATCTCTCAAATTTGACACTTAACCTTCTGTAAAAACACTTTATTTGTTTTGGATTGTGATATTTTTAATTATAAAAACTAATTAAAAACAATAAAGCTCTTTTTTCTTTTTCTTTTTATCGTGCTTGCTGTTTTGTTTTTTCTTTGTTAATTAAGCTCATCATTTATTTTATTCATTTGCTTTTATTATTAATTAATTTTATTATTTCATATTTTTTCTTCATTTTTTCCTTCTAATTAACTATTTAATGATATATTTTTTCTTCAATATTTAAAAAGTAGAAATTAAATTGGTGATGAAGGTGCATCAGGCTTAGGTTCAGCTTTAGCAAAATGCATTAATCTCTCAAATTTGACACTTTACCTTGAGTAAAAACAGTTTATTTGTTTTGGATTGTGATATTTTTAATTATAAAAACTAATTAAAAACAATAAAGCTCTTTTTTCTTTTTCTTTTTATCGTGCTTGCTGTTTTGTTTTTTCTTTGTTAATTAAGCTCATCATTTATTTTATTCATTTGCTTTTATTATTAATTAATTTTATTATTTCATATTTTTTCTTCATTTTTTCCTTCTAATTAACTATTTAATGATATATTTTTTCTTCAATATTTAAAAAGTAGAAATTAAATTGGTGATGAAGGTGCATCAGGCTTAGGTTCAGCTTTAGCAAAATGCATTAATCTCTCAAATTTGACACTTGACCTTGAGTAAAAACAGTTTATTTGTTTTGAATTGTGATATTTTAAACTATAAAAATGAATATAAAAAAAATTTCTTTGAATTTATTTGATTTATTTTTTTATCTTTTTTATTGCACTAATATTATTTTATTTATGAATTTAAAGAATAATTTATAATTTAAAAGTTTATTCTATTTTGATATTTATTTAAAATTTACACAGATTTATTTTAAAATTTTTAGCTCAAATAAAATTTCATAAAAATTCAAAGTAAAAGGCAAGTGTCTTAAATCATAAAGATTAGTTGTCTTTAATTTAAATTTCTAATGATAAACAGCTGGTGAAAAAAGGATGAATCAATATAAAATGTTTGAATAATATGATATATTTTATTATTTAATATTTTTAAAAAGTGTTTTTAACCTAAAATATAAATAGATTTATAGTTGTTATTATTGATTTTAAATTTATAAATATCATTCATATTTTTGTAAGTAAATAAATTATTTATTAAAAATAAAAAAATTTAAAAATTAAATTTACTTAAATAAATTAAATCCTCTTAAGCAAACCCTCCCAATTCTCCAAAAACGATAAAATAAATATTTTTTATTTTGTTGAGTGTGTATTGGGGGGGGGGGGGGGTATTTTGTTGAGATTGATCTGGGATAATTGAGATAAAATATATTTATTTTTAAATAGTAAAATTAGTACGATTTCCCATATCTATATCTGTGACAAAATATCCCGGATGTTAGGTTCTCTGATTTATAATTAAAAAATCTAATTTAAAACAATAAAAATCTTTTAATTTATTTGATTTATTTTATTGTGCTTGCTTATTTTTTCTTTTTTCTTTATTAATATAACTCTTTATAATATTTTTATTTTTTGCTTTTATTATAAATTAATATTATTATTTTATATTTTTTCTTCATTTTTTCCTTCTAATGAATTAACTAATTAATTATATATTTCTTCTTGAATATTTAAAAAGCAAAAATCGAATAGGTGATAAAGGTGCATCAGGCTTGGGTTCTGCTTTAGCAAATTGCATTAATCTCTCAAAGTTAACACTTGGCCTTTTGTAAAAAGAGTTTTATTTTTTTTGGATTGTGAGATTTATAATTAAAAAACTAATTTAAAACAATAAAGATCTTTTTATTTATTTGATTTATTTTTTCTTTTCTTTTTATTATGCTTGCTTACTTTTTCTTCTTTCTTTGTTAATTTAACAAATTATTATATTTTTATTTTTGTTTTATTATTAATTAATCTTATTATTTTATATTTTTTCTTCATTTTTTCCCTTCTAATTAATCAACTAATTTTTTCTTTAATATTTAAAAAGTTTGAATCAAATTGGTGATGAAGATGCATCAGGCTTAGGTTCTGCTTTAGCAAATTGCACTAATATCTCAATTTTGAAACTTTTCCTTTCGTAAAAAGAGTTTATTTGTTTTGGATTGTGATATTTACAATTAAAAAAACTAATTTAAAACAATAAAAATCTTTTTATTTATTTTATTTATTGTGCTTATTTTCATTTTCTTCTTTCTTTGTTAATAAAATCATTATTATATTTATTTAAGAAATCTTATTATTTCATATTTTTTGTTCATTTTTTCCTTCTAAAGAATTAACTAATTAATTAAATATTTCTTCATATATTTAAAAAGTGAAAATCAAATTGGTGATAGAAGAATAGAAATACTCGCACATATAAATGCACTCAGAATACATCTTAATTTTAATTTTTATAATGTTTATAATTATATATTATTATTAAATATATGTTGATATGGAATAAAGGAATAGCGGAATAAAGGAATAGCAGAATAAAATTGACACTTGACCTTTCGTAATAAGAGTTTATTTGTTTTGGATTGTGAGATTTATAATTAAAAAAACTAATTTAAAACAAAATAAATCTTTTAATTTATTTGATTTATTTTCTTTGTTTTTATTGTGCTTGTTTACTTTTTCTTCTTTCTTTGTTAATTTAACTCATTATTATATTTTTATTCTTTGTTTTATTATTAATTAATATTATTTTTTCATATTTTTTCTTCATTTTTTCCTTCTAATGAATTAAATAATTAATTATATATTTCTTAATATATTTAAAAGTTAAATTCAAATTAGTGATTAAGGTGCATCAGGCTTAGGTTCTGCTTTAGCAAATTGCATTAATCTCTCAAATTTGACACTTGAGCTTTCGTAAAAAGAATTTATTTGTTTTGGATTGTGATATTTATAATTAAAAAAACTAATTTAAAACAATAAAGATCTTTTTATTTATTTTATTTAATTTATTTTGCTTGCTTACTTTTTCTTCTTTCTTTAATAATTTAACTCATTATATTATTTTAAATTTTTGCATTTATTATTAATTAATCTTATTATTTCATATTATTTCTTCATTTTTTCTTCTAAAGAATTAACTAATTAATTTTATATTTTTTCTTAAATATATAAAAAGGAAAAATCAAATTGGTGATAAAGCTGCATCAGGCTTATGTGCTGCTTTTGCAAATTGCATTAAACTCTAAAATTTGGAACTTAGCCTTAGGTAAAAAAGTTTATTTGTTTTGGATTGTGATATTAATAATTAAAAGAACTAATTTAAAACAATAAAGATCTTTTAATTTATTTGATTTATTTTTTTTAATTTTTACTGTGCTTGCTTACTATTTCTTGTTTCTTTGCTAATTTAACTCATTATTTTATTTTTAATTTTTTTATTTATTATTTATTGATCTTATTATTTCATATTATTTCTTCATTTTTTCTTTCTAATAAATTAACTAATTAATTTTTTATTTCTTCTTCAATATTTAAAAAGTAACAATCAAATTGGTGATGAAGGTGCATCAGGCTTAGGTTCTGCTTTAGCAAATTGCACTAAACTCTCAAATTTGATACTTGACCTTTGGTAATAAGAGTTTATTTTTTTTGGATTTTAATATTAATAATTAAAAAAACTAATTTAAAACAATTAAGATCTTTTAATTTATTTGATTTTTTTTTTCTTTTTATTGTGCTTGCTTACTTTTTCTTCTTTCTTTGTTAATTTAACTCATTATTTAATTTTAATTTTTGCTTTTATTAATAATTAATCTTATTATTTCATATTTTTTCTTCATTTTTTCCTTCTAATGAAATTACTAATAAATTATATATTTCTTATTGAATATTTAAAAAGTAAAAATCAAATTGGTGCAATGGGTGCATCAGGCTTAGGTTCTGCTTTATCAAAGTGCACTAATCTCTCAAATTTGACACTTTACCTTTAGTAAAAAGAGTTTATTTGTTTTTGATTGTGATATTTATAATTAAAAAAACAAATTAAAAAAAATAATGATCTTTTAATTTATTTTTCTTGATCTTTTTTATTCTACTAATGTTTTTTTATTTGTTAATCTATAAATGAAATAACAATAATTTTTTATAAAAGTTCTAACCAAATGAATGAATCATAAAAGCTCAGAGTAATTAGTAAATATCTTAAATCAAAAAGATTAGTTATCTTTAGAATAAACTGATATGATAATAAATAATTGGAAAAAAAATGAGGATTAAATATTAAATATTTGAATAATATAAAATATAGAATAATGTTTTTTAACCTAAAATATATATATATAGATAGATAAATAGATTTTATTATAGTTATTTATATTAAAAAAATACCATATTTTTGTAAATTAATATTGCTAATTGCAGATTTTTTTTTGTAATAGAGAGATAAATAGTAATAGGTTACACCAATAACTATTTATCTTTCTAATATAATATTATTTATAAATATTTATATATTTTGTATGTAGTTTTTTATAATTTAAATAAATTTTAAGATTTTACTTTTTATAAAAATTTTACTTTTAAATAAATTAAATAATAAATAGAAATTTATTTAGGGTTTGCAATTTTTAACCCCTCTAATTCCTTAATTATTTAGAGCATTCATTATATTTAAGATTAAAAGCTTTTATTTTTTTGTTTTTTAAGGGATTATTTTAGAGATATTCATATATTTAAGTAAATTTAATTTGTAAATTTTCATTTATTTAATAAGCAATTTATGAACTTACCAAAATAAATATAATATACATATATACATACATATAAAAATAAATCAATTTTATCATCAATAGAAACATATTTCAAAGGTAACTAATCTTTTTGATTTAAGACACTTGCTTTTTACTTTCAATTATTACGATTAATGGATTTAGTTTTCACTTTTAAATATCAAATTAAAATAAATACTAAAAAAAATAAAATAAAATAAAAAAATTATATAATTAAAAATATTTTTAAAATGAATAAATAAAAAAGATTGGTTGAATAAAAAATAAAAATAAATTTTATTTTATAAATAAAAATATCGCAATCAAAAACAAATAAACAGTTTTTACCCAAGATAAAGTTCCAATTTTGAGAGATTAGTACAGTTTGCTAAAGTAAAACCTAAGACTAATGCACCTTAATCCCCAATTTCATTCCCACTTTTTAATTAATATTGAAGAAAAAATGTGTAGTTAATTAGTTATTTATTTAGAAGGAACAAATACAGAAATAATAAGAAATGAATTGATAAATAATAAAAGTAAATGTTGAAAATAAAAAAATAAGTTAATTAAGAAAGCATAATTACTATGACAATAAAAAAGAAAAATAAAAATAAATTAAATAAAAAGCTATAAACAAATGAGTTATATTGTTTTAAATTCATTTTTATTATGCAAAATATCACAATCAAAAACAAATAAATTATTTTTACCGAAAATCAAGTGTCAAATTTGAGAGGTTAGTGCAATTTGCTAAAGAAAAACCTAAGGCTGATGCACCTTAATCACCAATTTAATTTACCCTTTTTAAATATTGAAGAAAAAATATTTAATGAATTAGTTATTTAGGATAATTTGGAGGAGAAAATCAAGAAAAATAATGAAATAATAAGAAATTAATTAATAAATAATAAAAGTAAATGTTGAAAATAAAAAAATGAGTTTAATTAAGAAACATAGAAGAAGAAAAAAAACAAGTAAAATAAAATAATAAAAAAAAAGAAATTAAATAAAAAGCTAATAAACAAATTAAAAGAGTTATATTTTTTAAATTTATTTTTATTTTTATAGCTAAAAATATTACAAACTAAAACAAATAAATTGTTTGTTTTTACACAAGACAAAGTGTTAAGTTTGAGAGATTAGTACAATTTTCTAAAGCAGAACCTAAGACTAATACACCTTAATCACTAATTTCATTCTCACTTTTTAAATATTGAAAAAAAATATATATTTAATTAATTAGTTATTTAGAAGGAAAAATGAAGAAAAAGTTGAAAAAATAATAAGTAATAAATTAATAAATAAATAATAAAAGCAAATGTAGAAAATAAAAAATGAGTTAAATTAAGAATATAGAAGAAGAAAAAACACAAGTACAATAAAAGATAAGGAAAATAAATTAAATAAATAAAAAGCTAATAAACAAATTAAAATAATCATATTGTTTTAAATTCATTTTTATAACCAAAATATCGCAATCCAAAAGAAGCAAACTTTTTATCAACTAAATGTTTTAGAAGGAAAAAATAAGTAAAAATATTAAATAATAAAAAATTAATAATTAATAAAAAATATAAAAGTGAAAATTAAGTTAAAATAACTAAAAATAAAATAAATGAAAATAGGGATAATCTTTATTAGAAAAATAGTATTTATTTTAAATAAACTAAAAGTTTAATATTTCAAAAATTTAATAATAATAATTATTATTATTATTAATGACATATACCTCAGATCAATATGGAGAACTTAATGAGATTAAAGAGAAGAATTTTAAAACTTTTTATATTAGTAAAAATAAATTTAAAGAATATTGATATAAAAATAAATAAATAATTACTTCTTCTAATTAGTGGTAATATTTAATCTATTATTTCATTTTTTTTTTTCAAAAATATTGAATAGCAATTTATTTATGAAAATTTAATTAATAATAAATGGATAAAAAGAACAAATAAATTATATGAATTTATAAATTTACTTTTATTTTGTAAGAGAAATCACAAAAAAGTTAGTGTAACACTCATTATTAAATCTTAATATTTATATTTAAAATATGTACTGAAAAATATAGTTGGTATTAGAGATTGGAAATAAAGGATAATTAGTATGTGGACTCACTAGAATAAAATAATTTTTTAATGTATTTATGTTAATTTAAAAAATTAAACACAATTTAGTAAATAAAATAAATAAATTTTTATATTAAACATCATATAATCATATGTATATATTAGATATTACCTATAGTTAGATATCTGAATTCCATTTAAGTAATATTTTGATAATTGAAACCATATAGAAAAATAGATATAAAGTAATGGGTTAATAACTATTTAGTAACTAAGCAAAAAATTAAGATAAAAATTTAATAAAAAAATAAGAGTAAGATAGCATTAAAGAATTACTTAACTAATACAATTATGAATACATAGCATTATAAGGTATTAAATAATCCTCTTAGGTGATTATAGCATTTTCTTAAAAATTGTAATGTAATGTTGCAATTGAGATATTTAAAATACTCAACACATAAAAAAATGGAATCAACTTGTAAGAATTAAACTAATAAATTACATCTAATTAACAATTTAGAAATGAAAAATATGCCATGTGTATAATTGAACTCATTTATGATAGAAAATAAGGATTATTAGGGATTGTTACTGAGCTTTTTGATAGTAATTTTTATCATAATAATTTATTTTAATCTAATAAATATAAAAGGTGATTTAATTACAATTTTAGACTTAAATGTTCTTAACATAGATTAAATCATAGCAATGACCTATTAGCTAATAAAAGGTATACTTTTAATCTCAGAAAATGTGATTAAAAGTTCTTATATTTCATCTGATAGCATAGTTTTTAGTAAATCTAAAAATTGCTTCTTAATTGGTATTATATTAACTAATTAATTAATTCTACCACTATCTAAAAATTAATTTGTTTTATAAATAAATAAACAAATAGTTGATCATGAAGCAAAAGTAAATCTTATTACTTAAGTAAATAATTTTATTTTTTATTTATTTATTGTAATCTCAATAACTTTCTTCTAAATAAGATAATTAATTTTAAGTAATTATATTAATTAGCCTGTAAAGGTTGAGAGCAAAGAAACAGATTCGGTATAAGTAATAACTTTAATGTAGATTTGAAATAAGTTAAAATTAGTTATTTTTATTAGAATAGTGTTTTTTCAATAGGACTACTTGTTACTGAAACTCTAATATAAAGGAGACTTACATCTATTGAGCAAATGTATTTGAAACACTAAAATATATTTGAAGTATTACCTTCTTTAAAAAATTCAAAGCACTTTGAATTTATAAGCAAAATACTTTATTAAATGTTATAATCTGCAAGAAACAAGATGTTTCATTTATAAGCTCTACTCTAAATAATAGATGAGTTTGATATTGATGAGAATTCCCTAAAATCGATGAAATTAAAAAATAAAAATGCAAAGCTTATAATAAATACGATTAGCGACATTATCAAAGCAACAAATTATTATGATGAATTAGAATTAAATCTGTAATAATTTAATTGAAATTAACCAACAATCTATTTTATGAAATATGAAAACCTAAAAGTTTTTGCTAAAATTATTTATTCCATCAAAATATTATTTAATATACCCAATAAGTATGATTTAATTAATCACCCTATCTATATATATATTATATCAACATAAACTTTTTTTTAATTATTTTCATTGTTAATTTTAATTTTAATATCTAATTTTAATAGACATAGTTTTAAAACAGAATAAGCAACAAGTATTGCATAGAATTTAGAAAAATGCTAAAATGTTACTACTTTTGATATAAATTTAGGGTAATTTAAATTTATTTAATTAGATTTTTATATTTAGATAAAATTAATAAAATAAATTATTAAATAATTAATTAACTAATTTTTTAAAAATGATTAAATATCTATTTGTTCACTCAATTTATTCTTTTAATTATAATTACATAGCTAATTTCTAATTTTGGTAACAAATAAACTTTTAATTAATTGTATTAGATGGATTTATATTACCATAGAAGGAGCTACAGATATTCTAAAAATATTACAAAAATGTTAAAAAATTATTTCTTTGGGTCTCAATTTAAGGTAGCAATCAAATAAAATTAATTTTATATTATTTGAAAAATGACAATGAATTTATTGATAAGCTAACAAAGATAATAAAATTTGTTGAAATAAATAGTTAATGCTACTAAAAATTAAATTAATTTAAACTTTATAAATTATTTCTTTACTTATTTCTTTACTTATACTTTTAAAGCAAATTAATTATTAAAATAATAGAGGTAATAGGCTAGGAGCAGAAGGGGTAAAAATTATTGGTGAAGGCTTATAAATGTGTCAAAATCTAAGCTCTTTAAATATATCATTAAAGTAATTTTTTAATATTGATCGAAGTTATCATAAAATATTTTTTGAATTTATAAATTAAGAAAGAAATATTTTATTTTATTTAAAGTTTATTTTCATAATAATCTCTAACTTTTTAAAAACTAAAATATTTTAATAATATTTGGCATATAATTTTAAAATTATTCACAGTAGTAATAATCTTGATGCAGAAGGAGCAAAATAACTTGGAGTATCGTTAGAAAAATGTCTAAATATAACTTATTTGAATATTGACTTAAGGTAGATTTTAGTTAAATTTTTATCAAATTAGATTTTCACCAAATAGTAAATTACCAATAAAATACTATAATTCTTCCTTTTTAATTACTTGATATGAATCATAATATCACCTTGGGAGAAAATTAGAAAATTTTAATTTTTGTGATTTTTTGATAGGGTCTTTTTGGCATTAATTATTGAGGAATCTACATTATATAAAATTTATTTTTATATTAAATAAAAGAGCTTATCAATTCATTTATTATTGTCATGTATTTAAATAGTTATATTATTTAATAGCAATAACAAACTTGGTGTTGAAGGTGCATAATATATTGGCTTTAGCTTAAAAAAGTGTCAAAATATTAAGTATTTAAATCTAAATCTTAAGTAAATTTATAAATTTTACTCAATATTTTTAAAAGTGGTAATTAGAAAAATAAATAAATTAGCAAAGATTTAATTAAATTAAATTAATTTTTTAGAAATGATTAATGATTTATTTTTTTGTTTACTTATTTATTTATTATTGAACTTTTTTTATTTTATTTTATAATTTTCAAAATCTTTAAAATTCTATTATCATTTATTTATTTCATAGATGGAATTTTATAGAAGTAGAAGGAGCATAAAGTATTGAAATGAGCTTATAAAATTGTCAAAATATTACTTTTTTATATTTAACTTTTGGGTAAATTTTAAATATAATAAAAGCAACTTATTTAAATATTTACATTTTAGCTAAAAGTTAAAAATATTCATAATAATTTTTTTTAATAGCTTAGATAAATAGAGATCAAATGTCTTGGAATAAAGTTTGAGAAAAAAGATAATTCATTGCGTGCAGCTAATTATTTATTGTTGAATCAAGCAATAAAAAACTCTAATAAATTTAATAAGATTTATTTTTCTTTCACACCAAAAAATCTTTTGAAAATAATATGAAGATAAATAAATAAATAAAATAGAAATAAATAATAAATTTTATCTTTTAAAATAACTAAATAAATTATGTATGAAATATATTTTTTTAATATTTTAAAATTGACAATAAGACTTAATTATAATAAACAAGTGGCGAAAAAATGATGAATAATTAATAGATACTTGAATAATAGAATATAATATTTTTTAGCCTAAAATATAGATATATTTTAATATTGTTTTTTTTACTTTTATAAATACCATATTTTTATAAATTAATATCATATTAAGGAATTTATTTTTTATTTATCCACTAGATTAATTAGATATTAGGATTTAAAACATTTAGGACAAATCAAATTTTATGTTTATTTTATGGTTTTTCGTACTACCAAGGAGCGATTATTTTTACTAAGATTTTGAAATCCAGGTGCGTTTTGATAAAATTATTCACTACAGAAATTGACACAAAATCCTGTATGTATTTTGTGTACCCCACTTCAGAAAATACACATTTTAATTGGTAATATTAACAATTAAAAATGAATGTTACACTAACTTTTTTATGATATCTTTCTAAAAGCAAATTTAGTAATTCATATAATTAATTTTTCTTTATATCCACTTATAATTACCTACTTAATTAAATTTTTATTAATTGAAATTAAATATTTTTGAAAAAAAATAAATGATATAATAGATTAAAAAATACTACGAATTAAAAGAAGTAATTATTTACTTTTTTATGAAAAAGCTTTAAATTTATTTTTTTTAATATAAAAAGTTTTTAGATTCTTCATTTTAATCTCATTAGGTTCTCCACTTTGAAATGAAGTAAATTTAATTTATAAATATTAATATTATTCTTATTTTATTTATATTTAACTTTCAGTTTATTTAAAATATTTTTTAATATGTATTTAATTTTTAATTTATTTATAAAATTATTTTCTTATATAAAAACAAACTCATCAATATTTATATATTTTTATTAATACAAATATTTTTTTAGCGATTTTAACTTAATTTTCATTTCAATTTTTAATTATTTCTTATTGATATTTTATTATTTGATATTTTTTCTTGGTTTTTTGTTATAAACCCTTATATTTGATAAAAAGAGTCTATTTTTTTTGGATTGTGATAATTATAATTAAAAAAACTAATTTAAAACAATAAAGATCATTTAATTTATTTTTTTCTTTTTATTGAGCTTTGCTTACTGTTTCTTCTTTCTTTGTAAATTTAACTCATTTTTTTATTTTTAATGTTTGGTTTTATTATTAATTAATCTTATTATTTCATATTTTTTCTTCATTTTTTCCTTCTAATGAATTAAATGATTAATTATAAATTTTTTCTTCAATATTTAAAAAGAAGGTGTGAAATTTATAATAAAGGTGCATCAGGCTTAGGTTCGGCTTTAGCAAATTGCACTAATCTCTCAAATTTGGAACTTGACCTTTCGTAAAAAGAGTTTATTTGTTTTGGATTGTGATAATTATAATTAAAAAAACTAATTTAAAACAATAAACATCTTTTAATTTATTTTATTTATTTTCTTTTTCTTTTAATTGAGTTTGCTTACTTTTTCTTCTTTCTTTGTTAATTTAACTCATTATTTTATTTTTAATTTTTGTTTTTATTATTATTTAATCTTATTATTTCATATTTTTTCTTCATTTTTTCCTTCTAATGAATTAACTAATTAATTATATATTTCTTCTTCAATATTTAAAAAGTGAAAATATAATTGGTGATGAAGGTGCATCAGGCTTAGGTTCTGCTTTACCAAATTGCACTAATCTCTCAAATTTGACACTTAACCTTTGGTAAAATAGTTTATTTGTTTTGGATTGTGATATTTATAATTAAAAAAACTAAATTAAAACAATAAATATCTTTTAATTTATTTGATTTATTTTGTTTTTCTTTTTATTGAGTTTGCTTACTTTTTCTTCTTTCTTTTTAATTTAAATAATTATAATATTTTTAATTTTTACTTTTATTATTAATTAATCTTATTATTTCATATTTTTTCTTCATTTTTTCCTTCTAATAAATTAACTAATTAATGATATATTTCTTCTTCAATATTTAAAAAGTTAAAATATAATTGGTGATGAAGGTGCATCAGGCTTAGGTTCTGCTTTACCAAATTGCACTAATCTCTCAAATTTGACACTTAACCTTGGGTAAAATAGTTTATTTGTTTTGGATTATGATATTTATAATTGAAAAAACTAATTTAAAACAATAGATATTTTAATTTATTTGATTTATAAATTTTTTTTTCTTTTTA